GGGCCCCGAGACCCCTAGAAGCAGAGGAGGACGGCAGCTGGGAAAGGCAGAGGGGTAAGGCACAGCCAGCGCCCTGCCCTCCCCGACCCGGCCGGGGTCACCCGGGCTCCTCGGCCTCTGGGTCCCCATCGGCAGCTGAGCCTGAAACCTCCGCCTGGTGGGGCGCGATGGCTCCGCCTGGCAAACACCGGCCCCCCCCAAACCCTCCGCCTTCGCTCTATGAGGTGCGCAAGCTCCCCTTCTTACGCGAGCTTAAAAATAATGTATTGGGGGGCGAGAATGCGTAATTCTCACTCTTTCTCATTTTGGTACTAACGATTGAACCCAGGGCCTTTGCAAAGAGCTATATCCCGGCCCTTTTAAATTTTTTATTTTGAGACAGGGTCTTAGTAAATTGCTAAATTGCCCCTGCTGGGCTAGAACTTGCAATCCTCCTGCCTCACCCTCCGCGGTGTGTGTCACCACTCCGGCTGTAATTCGTACTCTTCGAAGGTCATCCATCCAGAAGGCTGTTCTGAACTAACCATTCCTGGGGCAGGAATGGTTTAGAGCTTTAAAGTCCAGTACCTGGGACTGTGTCTGTTTTCCCTTGCCACCGAGTATCCATTCTTTGCTGTCACGGTATCACAAACGCCACTATTTTCTTTGGATTCCTCTGCAAAAGTGTGAGCAATGACAATACCCAGTATGCACTCATGAGGCTAGACTCGTTCAGTGATGCTGAAGTCCCAGCACTGAGGACAACAGATTGTGGGACAATTCTACTCCTACAAGTAAACCCGGAAGACACTCTGCCCGTGTGTTCAGAGGTGTGGATAAGAAAGCTCATGGCACTGCTGGGCCAGGTTGGGTGCACTTGTAATCCCAACACTCAGGAGGTTGAGACAAGAAAACTGCTGGGCATTTAAGTCCAGCCTGGGCTATGGTATTGAGTGCAGGTTAGCCTGGACTTCAGAGAGAGGCCCTGTCTCAAAGAAAGAAAAATTAGAAACAACTCCAATGACCATCCACCCACAGGAGAAGGGTTAATTGGATAGTTGGGGTGGGGAGAAAATAACTGAGCCTCGTTGTACTGCATTAACAAGTGTTGTTAGCACACAGTGACAAACGAAAGCATTTGTTTGCTCATAATTATAAAACTTATGCAGAGGTGAAGCAGGGGTTGTCTCTACTCCTGTGGCTTTAGCTAGAGAATTCACCGGGGCCTGGGCATCAGTTCCAAGGTTGGCCTGCTCAGGGCTGGCAGGAGTGGCTAGGAGATGAGCTGGAGGACCGGTTAGCCTGCATGTGACTTCTTAGAATAATCACACATCTGGAGATGGAACCCAGGACCTGTGTCTGCTTGGCAAGTGCCCTACCACTGAGCTGCATCCCCGACCCCAGGGAAACATGTGGTGACTCAAGGGCCCTTAGAATGCAAAAGCAAGGGCGCACGCCTGTAAGCCCAGCATTCGGGAGGCTGAGGCAAGAGGGTTGCAGTGAGTTTGAGGCCAGCCTGTCTCAGAAGACAAAAACCAAACAGAATGGAAAAGCAGTCATTTTCCTAGAACTTCTTATGACTCAGGTCCAGAACTGGCGCAGGTTGACTTGCGTCCCCTCTGTTGGCTGAAAGAGTCACCAGTTAGACATAGTCAAGGGGTAGCAGCTGGAAGAGTGTGAATACTCAGGTGTGCTTCACTGGGTGACACAGACTTCTGAGGGCCACACTGCCATGGGAAAATCTTAGGTTATGCTGCATAACAAACACCTTCCCTATTTCAGGGACTTCATATAAGAGTTTCTTCCTCCTCAGGGACTCATCCTGCCAATTGTGGGCGCCCTACTCCATACAGTCTCTCGGGGACCCAGGGACCATGGATGATACCACGTTTGCCATGGCTGCGGAGGTCAGGAAGGCTAGAGGATGTCCCCTGCTTGGGCCGCGGGGAGACAGACACCGCCTCTGCTCAGTTTTATTGGGCGAAAGAAGTCATGTGACTCAGCAGTAGGCGGGGTTGCAGTCTGCTCACATTTCATTGGCTGGAACCATCACATGGTCCTGCAGTAGGTGGGCTTGGAAAATGTCTGGGAGCATCCGGGGAAATGGGGGAGCCTTACTGCCTTGGCCACTTGTGGTAAACGATTGTTTTATGGTGAAGTAACACAGGAAACGGGAAAAGGCTAGGGATTGGGAGTGATCTCGTTTTTTATTTGAGCGCTAAAGGTTAAATTTATTTCTTTTTGATGAATGAATGGGTAGATGGATGAATAAATAAATAAATAAAAGTGAGGTACAAAAGCCGAAGCAACCCAAAGGCCCTCCCATAAATATGCATGGAGCTGGGGCTGAGGCTGCCAGCCTCGCAGGAACAAAGATGAATAAAATACAACTCACCCCTTCCAGGCTCCCAGCCCTGAGGGCTCAGTCTGAACTAGACCCCAACAGGCCCGCAAAGCTCAGCAGAGGGCACTCTGAGGAGACCCCGTCCCCGAGGGTTAGAAGGCTGGGTCATGAGGGATTCCTAGGAGCTCAACAGACCTCCTAGGAGGGCTGTGGCCCAGGGGCCGCCAAGCATGCTTACCACCCAGCCTTCTCGGGGCTTAGTCTCAGGTGAGGCCCTCTGGCTGGGGTCGCACCCCAGCTGCACCTCCAGATGATGCCTGCAGCAGGGCTGTGACAGCCCAGCACCCAAGCTCCCGCCTCAGCTCCACAGCCCCACGCAGGCTCAGCTGAGGCCCCTCCTCTCCATCCCAGGCCAATTCCTGTGGGCTGGATCCACTTCCTGTACCCCGTGCAGGTGCGGACTGCGATGTGCTGCTCCCCAATAACCCTCCTTCGCCCCAAGCTGCACTTCACCGGGCTCTGGGAAACTTGCTGCAGACACCCGTGGACGACAAAGTGATTCTAAAACCTCCAGATGCTTCTCCTGGAGAGTTTGCGGACCAGTTTCTGTGTGCCAGGCTGAGCCCTTTGTCTATACGATGCCCCCACCCCGTACTGGGGTTGAAGCCAGGGCCTTCCCACTGAGCTACATCCTTGGCTCTTTTTTTTTTTAATTTAAAAAATATATATATATTTTGTTTGTTGGTTTTTAATATGCAGACGAGGTCTTACTAAATTGCTGAATTGCCTAGGCCGAGTTTCAACTTGTGATCCTCCTGCCTCAGCCTCCCAGTGTACTGGGACTACAGGCGCGCACCACCACGCCCAGCTATTATATGAGGTTACTTAATGTAGAATAGAAGGCCTTCATATACAGGCATGAACTTCCAACAGTGACATTCGTGCTTAGGCGGTAGATGTGGGAGGCTGGACTTGCGGCATGAATTCTGTTACCTGTTAGCCCGCCGGTCCCTGTGCTCGCTCGCCTACGTTTCCCATCCCCCTCAGGGCTGTCAGTGTGATGGGTGCTGGCCAGGGTGCGGATGCGCAAATTTAGGACATTAAAAAAAAAGCCAGCAGGAGTTCGAAGGCTCAGTGGTATTGTTTCTCTGTTCCGTCTTTTCTCCGGGGTCTCACTTCTTGGGAGCCTGTGTGGAGGTGAATTCCCGTGAAAGATGACTGTCCCCGTCTGGGAGTCCCCAGTCCTTTTCTGAGAAGTGATGACATTGCTCCCGTACTTCCTGTCCTTTCCTGGGTACCTCCTGCAGCCACCACCCCCTCCTTTTACATCCTCCTTCTTCGGCCCGCTCCCCCCGCCCCTTTCTGTCACTTTCAGGTCGGAACCGTGGTGCCAGGCAGAGCCCGTCTCGTCCCTGGACAGGGTCCGAGGAGGTCCCCCAAAGGTGCGCTCCCCGGCCTGGAGGGGGCGGGGCGGGGCGAGGTGGGGCTCACAGGCTCCCTGCGGCTTGGAGACCCCGGGGGGCGCCCCCTGGAAGGCAGAGGGGCTTCCTAACCGCAGCTGTGTGTCCGGAAGCTGCAGTTTTTCCTTTAAGATCAGTTTTTAAATCAGGATTTTCTTTGTCTCCTTTCCACCTGTCTTTCTACCTAGCCTCCATCCCGAGCCTGGCTCCCTCTTTTCTGGCGGCCACACGCGGGCAGGGGCTGTGGTTGTGGTGAGCTACAAAGTTATTTTAAGAAATCTACTTCCTAAAGTCAACAACAACAAAAAGAATTGTTTTATTGTGAAGCTCAGCACCACAAAACTTTAAATAATTCACCACAGACCTTCATTAAAAACATTCCCCCCAAAGTAAACAGACGGACAACGTCAGGCCTATTTAAAACTCCTGAAAGCGGAGGGGATGGAGGCAGGGTCCCCGGTCCTGGGCTGGACAGCCCAGCCTTCCCTGGTGTGTGGCGGGAGGCGCACGCAGGGGTGAGGTGGGGGAGCTCCGTGCAGGGCAAAGGGGCTCCAGGGCCAGGTTGGCGAGGGGCCGGGCGCTGCACCCACAGCCCTCGGAGCTCAGTCTGGCAGGGCAGAGGAGGAGAGGGGTGGAGGGGAGGCCGGGCCTCCTGAGGTCAGCGCTGCACTATAGAGGCAGGCTGGGCATGTCCGGGCAGAGACTTCCAAACTCTGACAGTCTGAGATGTGTAGTCCTCGCTGTTCACAGCCGAGATGCTATTTTTTAGTGGGATTTCTGTTCAGAGGAGCACCCCACAGTCTGCAATTTCTAAAAAGCAAAATTGCAATGTTGCAGGTGAAGGCAGGAGGCAAAGGTGAGGGGCGAAGGCCTTTAGGGGGGCAGCTAGGCCCCTCATTTCTGTATCCTTTTTTGTTTTCTTTTTTTCTCTTGGTACCGGGGATCAAACTCGGGTCCTTGTGCTTGCGAGGCAGGTGGTGGCACCACTAAGCTAAATCCCTGGCCCCCTTTTTTGTTTTTGACACAAACTTTGCTACGTAGTTCAGGCTGGCCTTGAACTCACTGTATAGTCCAGGTAGGCCTTGAATTTACAGTGGTCCTCCTGCCTCAGCCTCCGGAGTGTTGGAATTACAGGCATGCACCACCACGCCCGGCTCGTTTCTATCTTTTGGAAGCTTTAGCAGACGCTTCCAGAATTGTTCCTTATCAGCGTCATCTCAGTAAAGGGACTGGGACTAGGACTCAGGAAAGGGCCCTAGAGGCCTTTTCCTCACTCGGCATCCACAGAAGTACAGGGTGGCGAGCAGCGGGCTCTGTCACAAGGCAAAAGGCCAAGTGTGGTCTATTTGCTTGAGAGTCAGAGCCGGATCACTGGACTGCAAGCGTCAGTTTCCCAGCAGCGTGTGCAGCCCTGTGGACAGCGCCCTCGGTACACCTCGGTGCCCCGTCTGTAACCAGGCGGTTCGGCCACACGGAAGAAGCCGGGCCGTCCTCACGGGGCTGTGCCCTCCCCAGGGCTGACGCCCCGACTGCGGCCCCACTGGCGGGCAAATGTGTCCGCGCGCAGCGGGACAGCCCTGTGCAGCGCCCTCGGTACACCTCGGTGCCCCGTCTGTAACCAGGCGGTTCGGCCACACGGAAGAAGCCGGGCCGTCCTCACGGGGCTGTGCCCTCCCCAGGGCTGACGCCCCGACTGCGGCCCCACTGGCGGGGGC